GGACTGGTCCACATCATACTATAGCCCAGGTACCAAGCGTCACAGTGTTTCGGGAGTAGCTACAGATCGCAGCACTAAACTAAGGGTAGTACCAAGTAGGGACTTGGTACACAGAGGAGGGCCGGGACACCGCGCCCTCCGACAGCGCGCAGCGCGCTGCATTGGTTGTATACATGGATATATGTATATACCTATGTTGTGGATATATATATCGGTTGTTTTCTGATTTCGTTTTTTTTTTTTTCCAGTTATCTGTCGCCGTCCACCTTCCCCGTCCTGTATCACCTGCCTGCAGGCCAGTCCAGGACCAGGTCGCAACGGCTATGTCTGCTCTCTCTCTCTCTCTCTCTCTCTCTCTCTCACACACACACACACACACACACACACACACACACACAAACACACACACACACATATGCGCACGCAGCACACTGCTTTGGTTGTATACATGTATATATGTCTATACCTCTGTTTTGGATATATATCATCAAATAGAACTGCCCGGTAAACCGTAGGCAGAGAGGGAGAAGAGGACAACAAACGAGGGGCTGTGACAAACTGTTTCGTCCGAGTTTCACCGACTCATCAGGAGGCTATATATATATTGGTGGTTCTTGATTTTGTTTTTTTTTTTGCAGTTACCGTCCGCGTACCCCATCCTGTATCACCTGCCTGTGAGATTTTGGACAGGTCGATTATGATGATGATGACGATGATTTCGGGTCATGGAGGACTGGAAGAACGGCCATGTCCCTTACACCATGTCCCAAAACCGGCAATTTATGCGCCCATGGACTTCTGATGGCTACGGCTGCAGGTCCTCAGTTGACTGTTGTCTGCCATTTCCGCAGCAGGAACACGGATGACGATTGAACGGCTACACCTGCAATCCCCCTGATTCAATTGTGGCCGAGATTGTGGATGGGTAGATGATGACGCAGTGCAGTGGGTGACAGGAGTTTGGAGTGGATGGCATGGAGGATGACAAGAACGGCCATGTTCACGGCATCCTAGAAACCACTACGTTGTAGTTGGCACTCCTAACGTCTACGTCTGCAGGTCGACCAGGTCGTTAGTTGAGGGTCATCTATCGTTTTCGCAGAACATAGGAGCTAGAAGTCCGGTATCAGCGGCTACATCTGCAGTCTCTCTCTCTCTCTCTCGGGAAGGACGTGGGAACGACAGCCCGTTGCATCCAGTTTTTGATGGCCGTTGTCGAGAGCCCGCCATGCGGGGGTGCAATGCCACTAGGGCTTCCGTGGTGCTTCCGAGCGATAGACGTGCGTAGTGCTCGTTGGTTTGGGAAGAATATGATGAGGAGTGTCTTCGGTTGCCATGCATCACGTTTGTTCACGTGTTCTTGTGCGCAGCTCAGGTTACGCGTGCGGTCGTTGTTATCGTGTTCTTGGGCTCGTCGTTATTATCGTGTTCTTGCGCTCGTCGTTATTGTGCTCTCACTCTCGTCGTTATCGTGAGAGCACGACCACGTCTGCGTTTTGGAAGTGAAGGCAATGCCTTTGCTCCGTTTGGCGAATTGTGGTCGGATCAAGTCCGCCGCGTGACGTCGGTGGCAGTCGAGGAGCCATGGATAAAGGAGGTAATTCAGAACGTGCTCATGGAGTTGGCGGTGGTTGTTTACCAGGCGCTGGTGGTGTGCAAGAAGGCGCGTCGTATGTGCAACCTTCCATGGTGTTGGGGGGAGACGCAAACGAGGAGTGCATGGAAGCACTGAGACTGGAGCTGTTTATGCGCGCTACTTGTGCAAAATCCACGTCTCTTCCCTTGGTGGTACCTTCAGTGGCAAATCCTGCATGTACTACTACTGTCGGACGGTCATCATTCACGGACAGTGGCTGTGACCATGCATAGGCGCCTGGTGGATCTGTTCGGTTGTGGACTGCAAGCACGTCGATCTGTCCACCGGGGAGGACCTCGGGATGCTTTGGAGTGGGTTGAACGATTCAGTTGTCACCCCTGACTATGTAGCGTCGTTCCAAGGCGTCGGCAGCTCATCAAGCAAGTCCAATGATTGCTTCCGCTCTGGGTGCAGCATACCACGTGCACGTACTGGACCTCCGCTTCATCATGGGGAGGCCGAAGCACGTTTGGACGGTGAGAGGGGCTTGCAACCACCGTGCAGCCCCATGACATATTCCCGTCCTGCTGACCGCGCTGTCTCGAGGACCGCTTCCGCGGCGCAAGGCACTACCCGGACAGTTGGCAGTAATGGAGGCATGCCTGCCCCCCCTGTGGGACTTCCTATGGATATGCGATCATGACAGTATTTTCGGCAGCCTTGTTCCAGTCATGCCCAGCAACCATCACAGGGAGTTTCGCTCCCGATGTGGACGCCATGCATCTCCCCTCCTGCGTCCGCCACTGCTTTCCCGTACGCGCAAGATGCCAGCGTTGAACTTGTCCGTCATGGCGGTCACCTCACCGGTCTTCTAGAATGGGAGAAGCTGGGAGATCGTGGCATCTGCGCTGCTGGTGATCCTGTCATGGATGCAGTTGCAGAACATGCAAACAGCGACACACAACAGGGCAGGAACCAAGCATGGACTGCTGAGTTTCCATTGCGCAGCGAGGCTAACGACGGTGTGCAGAGCTGCATGCAAGGAGCCATCAGCGAGCCGCTTGCCGGTGCCCTGGCAGCTGGCACTGCCACGGTAGCGGCTATTGCTGTGCCTTCCGTGAGGGTTGTTCCTGCTGTCCATGTCCTGCCACCAACAGGCGCTGTGGCAGTCGGTGGTGTTGTAGGGGCTGCTCGTGCATTGGAAGGTGGTGCTTTGACAAGAGGTTGTGGTGTGCCAGGCGTTGAGGATTTGGCGGCTGGTTGTGCATTGACAGGTGGTGGTTCAAGACCGGCCGCTGAGGCTGTGGCTGTTGGTGGTGTTGCGCCGCCCTGTGGTAATGTCGCTGCTGCTGAAGCTATGCCAGGTGTCGCAGCACCACCTGCCGCCGCCAGTGCAGGAACAGCTGGCGGTGCTGTGCCGTCTCCTGCCCGTGTAGACAAGCAGAACACAGAAGATGTCCCTGCAAAACGGGCTACTTCGAGCCGTTGGGGAGAAGACGAGACTGTTGTCTTCTTGCAAGCAAAGTCGGAGCAGTTGGCAGCAAGAGCTCTTGATTCGGAGGTGAAGGGCAATGGGAAAGACCCTACAAAGGTGTGGGAAGAAATCAAAGCTGATGTGCGGCGCGCAAATTGGAACAGATCGGCCATTGAATGCAAAAGGAGGTGGAACACCGTGAAGAGATGGTACAGCCGAGTTGTCGACAATGATACGAGGAGTGGTAGACAAAGTTATTGGACAATGACCCCAAAAGAAAGGGCTGCCGCAAACCTTTATTTCAATTTGAGGAAGAATTGGTTTGATATCCTCGAATCTTACAACGTGAGGAACCGTGTACCCGGATCGCGTCGTCGATCCGGGGGAGGAGGAAGTTCCGGCGCATGCAGAGGGAGCGGGACAATGGTGGAAGAAGAGAAGCGCCGCATGCGCAGGGGGCAGCACAGAATAACGCGGGTGGTAGCAGGGGGGGTTCCACTAGTGAATGTTCCAACCTCACATCAGCTACTGGTTCTACTCCTCCCAACAGACGCAGGACCAATGTGAACGTGAGGGAGCAAAGTCTGCACGTCGTGACGAACGCCATGAGGGAGAACACAAATGCACTCTGAGAAGCTGCAGCGGAGCAGGGAAGGATGAGCAAGGTGTGCACAGAGCTCCATTGTGGCACGTTGATGGATCTGGCAGCCCGTGAACTTGCTGCACACATGGAGATGACAGACCGAACGTGCACTGTTATGCGGGAGGATATCACATCCCGTGACAGGCAGAATGACAAATACATCGAGAAGATGGGTGATAGCTACGCACTGCTAGCCAGTGCATTGCTCAGTTTCTCCAAAGCTAGCACCAGCAAACGACGTCGGCGGTCCTCTGACTCAGAGCAGTCCTCATCGTCTATGTCAAATTAATCTTCACGGCGGATCATCAACGTCAAGCACTGCACAGCAACTGCCGAGGTGTTGTTACTTGTCACGGTTGAGTTTTCCTGATTCAGCGACTCCCACAGCAGTGCTACATCTACCTCTTTAACCACCACCCGACTGAGACGACACTCGAGACGGCAAGAGAGAGAGAGAGAGAGAGAGAGAGAGAGAGAGAGAGAGAGAGTCGTGTCTTTGTGTCACGAACGTGCGCTGTGTGTCACTCAAATGTCATGGAGTACATGCTTAGCTGTGAACGTCAAAACTTCTGCGTGTTGTCAGAGGTATCTTCGATTGCTCTGTCATTCGACGTTGTGGTTTTCCTACTTCAGCTTCGTCAGAGGATCATGATTGCCTGTGGTTTTCCATGTACGGCCGATATCCTGTGATTTTCCATTTTCGGCCAATATTGGGAACGGTAACAGTCCACGGGCCGTGTAAACCAACAATAGAGATTTTGGGCCCCACCCCATCTCCCAAAGTGAACCTCTCCACTCCCCTTCCCCCCCTCCGTCAGGACGAAATAAATAAGGAATAAATGAGCAACACCTCCACGAACCCCACTCGAAGATGTCATCTCATGTGCGGGGAGAGCTCCGACCATGAGAAGCAAATGGTGAATATCTTCTTAAGAGGATCGATTGTGTGTGCCTTTGCAGACGCATGACAATCTTCTTTGTGCAGCGCAGCTTCTTGCCAAGTATACATCGCATTGCGGTGTTGTGGTAGTGCCTGTGTCACCGTGTGAGAATCAGTTGTGAACACACACACACACACACAGAGACAGAGAGATGGCGGACAATGAGCAGGCGGTAGAAGGCAACGGAGATGGTAATTTCTCACCACCACGTGATGTGCACAATACGCGGGCGATGGCAATGCGCGCGCAAGACAGGTCAGTAGACTTTGCTGCAGTGGTGACTTTGATCATAGCGAGGTACGATCACCTAGAGCGGCCGTATGCATTGGCATGCGTGGAAATGCACAGGTTGTCTAACGATAATGCCAAGCTTGCAGTTGACCAGGCACGCGCGGAATTGCAAAGATACAAGGACGCTGCAGGCATAGACCCAGCCTTGTCGCAGCAGCTAGGAGAGATGCACCTTCGTCACGTGGACAGGTCTCCTTCCCAGACCGTCGGCGGCTCCACTGTGCAGCATGTCGGCAGTCCCAGCATGCGACGCCATAGCCGTGCTAGAGAGTCAGAGGAAGATTCTGCGGATTCGGACGTATCATCAGGGTACTTCGACGTCGAGGGACACCATTTTCAGGAGTAGCGCCTACACTATGTAGCAAGGACTGCTTCGACTTTGCTAACTTTGTTGGTGTCGTAATACTGTCGTTGTTTAGACGACTGTCAAGTTGTGTAGGTGTCGGTAAAAGAACACGGCACATTGGTGGCGCAGGGCTCACCGCATGCTGCCGACAATAGACAATAGGTCAGTTGTGATGGCAACCTCGTACGGCAGAGGACATAGCCACTACTCTCCGCGGCAAAACGCCTATCCATTCGTAAGAGGTGTCGTATATGAAAAGACTTATCGAAGTCGCGTTTGAGGATTTCCTACACGTTGTTTCAAACGGTTCGATGATTTGTGCTCTCTCTTTTATCATATGGTTTTGTCACGTCTTCGTTGTGCTTGCCGCATGTGCCCGCATTTCTTTTTTTTTTCCCCTCCCCTTTCTTGTTCTTCGTCGGTTGCATGGCTTGCTTGAGCGGTGTGAATTGCATGGCTTTTTTCAACCTTTTCCCGTTTTACAGTATCTTGTCTTCACCTCTTTGAGGATGTGTCGAAGGAGAAGAATGTTCCTTCTGTGGTGTTACAGCGTCAAGGCATGTTTTGTCCAGGTGTGTGAAATATCCCAGTATTGAACTGGCCCATGTGTGTCTAACAACAGTGTCCATCTTGAAATGATCCGGCCAGGCGCTGGTGGCTCTCTCTCTCTCTCTCTCTCTCTCACACACACACACACACACACACACACACACACACACACACATGGGCCATGCCCGTTCATTATTATTATCTTCGGCTGTTAATTTCTATCTTTGGCTTCGCACCCTTGTGGTTGTCACGAAACGATCAGTAGATTTCGGAAATGAATAATATGTGAATGATGTGGATACAGGCGCACACTGTATGGGAAAGCGCGGTGTGAGGGATAAAAGTAAACGCGCAGTGAATGGGCGGAGATTCTGCCGCTCTCTCTCTCTCACACACACACACACAAACATGGGCCATGGCCATTCATTATTATTATCTTCGGCTGTTAATTTCTATCTTTGGCTTCGCACCCTTGTGGTTGTCATGAAATGATCAGTAGATTTCGGAAATGAATAATATGTGAGTGATGTGGATACAGGCGCACACTGTATGGGAAAGCACGGTGTGAGGGATAAAAGTAAACGTGCGGTGAATGGGCGGAGATTCTGCCGCTTATGTTCTATTTCCTGAATCGAGGGTTCAGTAAGGGATGTATGACGAATGTATCAGGTAATAAAGTATGTTGACAGAGAGCTAACAAGAAGAGCGTAGATTAACGAAGAAGTGAGGGAATAAGTTGACGGATGATGAGATGAACGATGNTAATAAAGTATGTTGACAGAGAGCTAACAAGAAGAGCGTAGATTAACGAAGAAGTGAGGGAATAAGTTGACGGATGATGAGATGAACGATGAATGAGAGTAACGTGTGGGATGGAAACGAAAGAAGAAGGTGGGGACCGAGACTTGTAGATAGTGGACACGAGGGTAATGGACGATTAAGTGTCCCTGCAACGTCGGATTACCTCCTCTTGTTTATCTTCCTCAGTAGTCCTCTTCTTCTTCTACAGTGAGTTTATTATTATTTGTTGGAAAGTTAGTTGGAAAGTTTCTCCGTTTCCCCTATGGTGGGATATGGTAGCGATGCTTGGGTGAGCTAGGAGAGGAGCTTGCGCCACGCGCAATGCATCCAGAAAAGTGCGCATGCAAAAAAGGGCAGCAAATCTTTCGATGCTTGAACGAGAAGTAGCGTACGACCACCGTTTGTATGTATGCAGTGCCTCTTAGGATTAAAGGAAACCAGTGGATTGTCCGTGAATCGTCACTGCATTCGCAGAGAGGTTCCCCAAACTCAAGAACGAAGATGGGATGACCCACATGGCAGGTATACAAATGACAAAAAATTAAAAAAAGACAAAAAAGGGGGATTTCCCACGTGAAGGGAACGAAGGCATTCAAGGGGATTGCTGATGTGGAATACTAAATAAAAAAATAAAAAATAAAAAAACACCCTCGTCATCACCCGATCATAGCACTTCGCTTACGTGCCATGGAGACGGAAATCGCTCGGATGGTGAGAAAAGTACAGGATCCCCCAAATGCATGAAAGAAGATGGGATAACATACATGGTGGGGAGAGAAATGATAAAAAAAAGAAAAAGGGGATCGCCCACTTTAAGGAAGGGGATCGAGGAGACGTGGATTATTCTTATATGAAAAAAAAGACGAAATATCATTATATCACTTACGCCCACAAAATAGAGGGGGGCACTTTCGTGGATCATATGCAGTTCGCTTACGTGTCATGGAGACACAGAGATTGCTTGGATCAAGTTGGATGGTGAGAGAAGTACAGGATCCCCCAAATGCATGAACGAAGGTATTCAAAAGACAAAATTTTAAAAAAACAAAAAAAAGGGAATTCCCACGTGAAGGGAACGAAGGCATTCAAGGGGATTGCTGATGAGGAATACTAAAAAAAAAAATAAAAAAAAAAACACCCACGTCATCACCCGATCATAGCACTTCGCTTGCGTGCCATGGAGACACGGACATCGCTCGGATGGTGAGAAAAGTACAGGATCCCCCAAATGCACGAAAGAAGATGGGATCACATACATGGTGGGGAGAGAAATGATAAAAAAAAGAAAAAGGGGATTGCCCACTTTAAGGAAGGGGATCGAGGAGACATGGATTATTCTTATGTGAAAAAAAAAAAGACGAAATATCATTATATGACTTACGCCCACGAAATAGAGGGGGTCACTTTCGTGGATCATATGCAGTTCGCTTACGTGTCATGGAGACACGGAGATTGCTTGGATCAAGTTGGATGGTGAGAGAAGTACAGGATCCCCCAAATGCATGAACGAAGATGGGATCACATATGTGGCGGGGATAAAAATGACAGGGTACCACCCACGTGAACAGAATGAAGGGGATCGCTGACGTGGAATACTCTTATTAAAAAAAAAAAAAAAGACCACTCACGTCCACGGAACAGAGGGGGTCGGTGTTGGTGACCGATCATAAGCAGTCCGCTTACGTCACATGCACCTGATGGGATGGCTTGGATGGTGAGATAAGTACAGGATCCCCCGAATGCATGGACGACGATGGGATCACGTAAGAGAAGGGGGGGGGGGAAGGGGAGGACGTAAAGGGAAAAAAAAAAAAAAAAAAAAAATTGTCCATGCAAAGGGAATGAAGCGGATTGTTGACGTGGAGGGGACAAAGGAGTTAAAAGGACACACTGCGATTTGACATTGTGAGAAGAGGATCGCCTGAACACATGCCGAAAGAGTTGATCACCGTGGTGGAGCGGGAGAACATAAAATAAAAAGGAAGATCGCCCATGCGAAGGTCGCCCGCACAGTTACTGGCGCTATGCAATGAAAAGCAGATCACTCACGTGGCATGACGATAACGAGATTGCCCAGGCGGTAAGATGGTAACAGGATCCCTCATATCCATGAGCGGATATGGAACAACACACGTGGAAGGGAAAAAAAAAAAAAAAGGGATCACTGTACGCCGTCTACGAGTCTACGCATGTGAAGGGAATAAAGGGGATTGTCATGTATACGGTTGACGACAGTAAAAAAACGAACGTCACAAAGCGTACATGTCCAATTAATCAATATATGATCATGCCTTCCGGTCACATGTTCATTGATCCGTCTCTAAGTGCCTTTGATAATGTTCGTTGCTAGATCGAAATAAGCGAAGACATGACATCACATTTGCAGCTGTGAGTGTGTGAGTGAACCATAAACCATGCATTATACTCGATCGCTGGCATAGACGGGGCATTGCAAAGAAGCTAAGCACTAAATATTTAACTTTCCTTTCCCGAGACACGTCAAACAATTGTCCACTCTCCTGATGAACATGCCCGGTGTTGCTCTCTATATTTTGCTTTCGCATGCTTTCATTGCACGTACCATGAACAGTCACGAAAACATGGCTTTCATTATCCCTCATCAACAACAACGTGCACGCAATACCATTTCATGTATCATTTCAAAAGAGACAGATATCACAACAATGGACCCAAAGAAAGAAAGAGAGAGAGAGACAGAGAGTATCTTCCAAAAAAAAAATCACTTGCTTTCATTTGATGAAATAGTTTGAAGATGACAAATCAAACGCGAAGAAAGCTTGACCATTCTACAAACCACCGTAACTTCCAAAAAATTATCTTGCTTTCATTCTACGAAATAGCCTGAGGATGACAAATCAAATGCGAAGAAAGCTTGACCATTCTAAAAACCACCGTCACTTCTGTGATTGCTATCATATGAAAACCCCTTTCTGCGTCGTGTCAACAATCTACGTCCACTAAACTTGCGCTCCACGGAGCGGACATGAAGCACACTCGAACGTGACGAAAGCAAAGACAGAGATTTTCACCGCAGATGCAAACGGACATACTCTTACATTTTGTCTACACCCCCCCCCAGTTCGCGCACACGCTCAAACAACTTCTGCACTCTCTTCTCCAGCATGACTTCAGCGCACTGACTCTCACAATACGCCATCTCAGCAGCTAGACGTCGTGTTCTAGCCTCATCAACTTCATCTTTCAGCAATTCAAGACGTCGCTCATATTTGGAGCACTTCCTCGCAAGTTGCCCGAAAAGATAGACGACGTCACCCATGGCAACCTCCAGACGGTGTTCTGCTTTCGTCACCCATGTTGTCACGGCCGTCGAATCTTGCTTGATTACGCGACTGCTCTGCTTAATCCCTCCTTCCTCAATAGTTACAACCATATTTTCTCCCTTACTGATCAAGAATTTGTGCATCGTATGCAGCTCCTGAACACTCCCCTCCACAGTCATCGTGATGAGGTGCATGGACGATGTCAAGAAGTCGACGTCCTCACTGCCATCACAACACAGTCTCTTCCCTGTGTCGTTCATCTCTCTCTCTCTCTCTCTCTCTCTCTCTCTCTCTCTCTCTCTCTCTCTCTCTCTCTCGCGCGCGCGCGCGCGCGCGTGCGCGCGTGCGTTGTCTGTCAAGAAATAGGCGTCCCGATTTACTCACGGCGGCACTACAGAGGAGCAGGCAGCCTCCTGCTCGACCGCGTACGGAAATATGCCTTCGTATCCTATGCGAGGCGCTCCTCTTAAACGTTTCAACGCAGCGGAGATCCGTGAGCATCACATGAAACATTTCGTGAAATCAGCCACGGGGTTGCACCCGTCTGCCTACTGTCAACTAAACTGCACACACTACCACCTCCTTGAGTTAACATGAGCACACAAAGCATCTCGGAGGGCTTCCCCAACTGAGTGTCTCTCTGCGGTCGTCAACGGTGCCAGTGGTGGGGGGGGGGRGGGGGGGGCCTGCGGGGGKGGCGGTGGGTGGCCATCAGCCCAGGCGTGCAAAACGTCGTCATCTACACGGTCAACCCAGTCTAACAACAGGTTGTGAAGGGTACACACCGCCAGAAACTGATCGGAAATGGTTTCGAAATGGCAAATGTGGGGTCTGTGAAACATCTGAAATCGGAGTTTAACATGAGCATTTCCCCTTTCTGCATCACATCTGACCAGCTTCTGTCGATCATCGAAAGCTTTGATAGGCCTGGGTGCATTTGGGCGGCCATATGGCCGCACAATCCAAGGCAGCGTCGGGTAACCCCCGTCAGCGAGGAGATAGCCTTGTGTCACACCGGGCACTATCGGTCGACCCACAACGAAGGGGTCATTGACATCATTCACAAACAACTGTCCACTCTCCGCCCTTCTGAACAATGAAAAAATTCGCAAGATGCGAGCATCGTGCAGCGTGCCAGGCCAACCAACATTAAGGTCCACCACACGCAGCTCGTCGTCGAAGACAATCTGAGCAACAAAAGAGAACCGCTTGGTTCGACCAGAGCAGAACTCGTCTCCGTTCTTATTATTCGGCTTGTCAACATACACGTGAGTACAATCGATGCATCCCCAACAATTGGGGAAACCCTTATTCGCGTATGCCTCCATCGTTCTGTTCCTCTTTGCGTAATCTCCAAAAGAAATGACACGGGGGAAGCAGCGGATGATGGCACGCATGACATCACGGATAGCTCGTATCCCGCTTGTCTTCCCCATGCCGAAAGTGGCACTGCTGTGCCTATGGGTGTCACTGTGTGCCCGACGGTGGATTGCATAAGCTAAGATCTGTGCGGGATCTAAAGGCCGTCTAAAACGGGTCACAGATCTACTCAGAAACGGTCGCAGTACGTGAAGAAGACGATCAAAAGTCTGCCGCAGCATCCTCAGAAGCCACATGCGGTAGTCGTCCTGAGCGTTATCTCTGATTTCAAGGTTCCTCCAGTGTCCTGGTGCACGCCGCATCACCCACCACCGCGGCGACTCCCTCGGCAAAACATCAGCAAAATGAAGCATGACAGGCCAAAGGGACATCCCTGACAGAGCAGTGAAAGATGTGTTTGTCAGCTCTAGCCTATCCGGCTGTCGTGCCGACACAATCATGGAAGCACGTGCCCGGCGGCGCTGCAGCAGGAGTGACATAAACCGTCGTGTATCCTCCAACAACTGTAAAGCAAACACGACAACAGCTACCAGCACTGCCGAACGTTCCCTTCTGCGAAGTCTTCCCATCTCTCTCTCTCTCTCTCTCTCTCTCTCTCTCTCTCTCTCTCTCTCTCACACACACACACACACACACAACAGGAGCTTCCTGTGTCACGTTCTCGCCTCGTCCATCGCTCTGCCCATTCCAACTGCATGCAAATCCTCGACACCCGTCGTTGGTAGTGTACCTCGCGTCGTACGGCGGCATGAAATATTTGAGTCCCAACGGCAGTGTCCCTGTTGGGCGCAGCGGGACTAGATCACCCTGTCACCAGTATTCGCGGCACGCGCAGTGACCTATCGTGGCCTGTCACCGCCACACTCTTCTGCTATGATTGCGGCGTGCTCTGCCTTTGATTCTCACGGCCAATTCCCTTGCCGTTCGCACATTATTTTCTTTATGTTTTTTCCTCCAGTCCAAACGCCACACAGCACAGTGCAGTGCAAGGAACCAAAACTTTTCGTCCGCTAGTGGGACTTGGCTCCTGGAGAACGCAGACGGCATGCTGTTCCGTGGAAACCCTTTTTTCCGCTGTTCAATTTTGCTGCTCACATACGGTCTGAACGAGGAGCTAGCTTCAGCCCTCACCCTGCACTTTTTTTTTTTTTTTTTCCTGGAAAGCTTAACATTTTATTTCCAAGAAACAGTGGGACGAGGCCGGGGACCTCACAATTCGACCCGGAGTTATCCTGGCAGCATCAGCCAGTTTAGCTTACGAGCACCGCTCGATACCAAACCACTGCTTCTACCTTACCATAAGCAAGCTGAAAACCGGGTCCAGTGTCCCATACTAATAAAAGACTTTCCAAAACTTAAGCTTTGAAGCGCAAGTAAAAGGTGGTCTCCAAACCACAGCTCATCAACGTTACATTGAAGGAGAGGGAACCCTTCCTCCATTTGGTGCTCAACCTCTGATCAGAGATCTAATTCGAAATTAGTTCCTCTCCTTTATCAAATCGTACACTCATAGCAGCTTATGATGGACCAAGAAAACTTGGGCCCACAATGAACACAAGAGTCTCAATATTCTACCCTCAGCACACAGCCTAAGGTGGCTGCAACCAATGTGAAATCACCAACTTCCCATCGGCGGACACTGAAGCCAGTTGGTTCCCAAGCGCCCAAGTATTGAGGAACCACTGCCGGGATCTCCCCTGGGGATTCGAACAAGCCTTCCAATCTGCAAGGATCGTCCGTCTCAGGTTGGAACGAACCTGATGTTGCTGTTGAAATATCAAAATCTTCTCTTCCTTAAAGACCACAGAGTTTCTGGCTCTCCATATTTCTTCAAAGATTAAACCTCTGCATATAAGGGCGACATAGCCTAGGCCCCCCCGGAAGTTTAAACTAGCCGAGGGGAGTATTCCATACAATGTCCAATCATCGTTCCAGTCAAATGCTGCCCCTGCCAGATTCTTCCAGTGTGACAACCACCATATCCAGATCTCATCCGCCAGCGGGCAGTAAACCCACAGGTGGCCATCTCACCCTGCACTTTTCATGGCCCAACCAAGCACAATTATTTTCGGGGACGGGGGTCGTAGAGATCCGTGCAAGTGTTTTGAGCCAGAGAGGCAGTACGTGGCAGACCCTACTGAGCTACGCCCATGTCTGGGTTCTCAAATCTGACATGGCAGCTGCTATCAGGACCTGGCCTCATAAACCCTGCACTTTTTCACGGCCCAACCGAGCACAATTATTTTAGGGGACGGGGGTCGTAGAGATCCGTGCAAGTGTTTCGAGCCAGAGAGGTAGTACGTGGCAGACCCTACTGAGCTACGCCCATGTCTGGGTTCTCAAATCTGACATGGCAGCTGCTATCAGGAGCTGGTCACATCAAACTTTCCAACAACTCCCCCCCCCCCCCGGTTAGAGACCTTTCTCTGGGTTCTCAAATCTGACATGGCAGCTGCTGGCCTCATCAAACTTTCCAACAACTCCCCCCCCCCCCCCCCCCCCCGTTAGAGACCTTTCCAGTCACCCAAGGGTCATCGTCCCTTCGCAAGAGCGAATAAACACACCCGCTGAGATTCGCAAATGCCGAAACCAGGCCCGTCGAGAGGCAACGGGACAAAACAGATACGCAAATGCACAATCTGCACGGCGCTAATTTCGTCTTCTTCAACCATGGAGGGACTGGGCCTAACTCCACTACTCAACATTCTACATGAAATTTGGACGCTTTCTGGACCAGTGCATTCGGGTGAGTGAAACATTTTGCATGCGTCCGGACGATTAGTGGAGCGAGGCCCACTGTAACTGCTATCCATGCGGGAAAAAACTAGAAGAATGGGAAGCTGACGTTGGACGACGAGAAACGTGCAGAGACGTGCGTGAAAAACCTGAGACACGCCCATGATGTTCAACGTGTCAGTTGCATTCCTTGCTGCTACCAGCCTAACGATCAATGAGGGAATAACAACAGTAGAACCTTACTAGATGACCTGTTGCGGCTTCGCTCGCAAAAACAGATATGATGGTGATGCATTCATGGTTGTGGTGTGCCTTTAATCCCCTCCCCACACGCCTTCTCCTAACCCTCCCCTCATCTCTCTCTCCCTCTCAAACACACACACACACGTGCACACAAAAGACAAAAACACGATAAGGAAACGATTAAGCAGCCACGCGATCTCAAGCCTTCGCCTTTCCCCCCTGCTTTCCTCCTAACCCTCTCGCCTTCCCTCTCCCTGCCCCCCCTCTCTCACACACACAAAAAAAGAAAAACAAACAAAACGAAAAAGACGATCAAGCCACACACACCAAAAGAAAAACGATAAAAAAGAAAACCCATCACCCTTTTCCCTCCTCACCCTCTCGCCTTCCTCCTCGCACACACAAAAAAAAGAAAAAAAGAAAAAAACGAAAAAGACGATCTAGCCATACTAGAACAAAAGAAAAATGAAGAAAAAAGAACACTTCATTGTCCCTCCTCCTAACCCTCTCGCCTTCCCCCTCCCACCCCCTCTCTCTCACACACAAAAGAGGAAAACAAAAAAATAAACGAAAAAGACGATCGAGCCAGAAAAGCGGAAAAAAAAGACAACGAAAAGACGATCGAGCCGCGTGGCTGCACCACGTACCGTGCCTTTTACCCCCTCTCCCCCCAATTCCCCCTAACCCTCCCCACGCGGAGCAGCTCGTGTCTCTTTACCCACTCCCTTCCCTCAAATGTGGCACCTGTCCCCCTTCTCCCCGCAATGGATGCACTTGTCCTGCGTCGCCCCGATCTTAAATCCCCAATGACTGCCCTCGTCCTTACTTCCCCACCTCCTCCTCTCCCTCCCATTGCATTTGGA